CTGAACAAAATATAAAACGAGAAAATACTATATCAAAATATGTAGGTGTTGTGTATATAAACACATGTTATAGTCCTTCATACATAAATACACCCCAGCAAGTTCCTAAGAGCCCTAACACACCTTTATGGCAGAAAAGCCATCATCCTTCGAAAGGTTTTTCTGAACTAAGCTTCCCTTTGAGCTGCTTGTTTAAAGCATACAGCCTTGCACTGCCCTGCTGTATTTAGCTCCAGACAGCAAAAAAGGGAGGGGAAGGAAGGAACCCAAAATACAACCAAAACCACACAAAACTCTAATATTAAATTAAAATTTCACAGGTAGAAATGGCATAAACTGCCACCTTCCATTAAACTAAGCTATCTGCATTAATAATAAGGCATGTTTCTATATAAGAAGGGGGAAACATACATAAGGCTACATTTTCAGCCCCCACAGATGTCTGCTTAAAGGGTGGAAGTCAAAATGCAATGTTTCTTTTTTAAGTTTAGCTGAAGACTTTACACTGGATCAGATTATAACCCCACTACAATTCACATTCTTGTCTAAGATCTTGAAGGGTGACCCAGAATTCAGCACATGACAAATCACCACCATTTTACCCAGCCAGTCCCCCATAGAAGCTATTTCTAAGAACAGCATTGTTAGTACACGCTTAGAAGGGAAGCCCAATGGAAATCACAATTGTCATTAGTTTATTGATTAGCTTTATAGAGCGTTGAGACCTTTTGTTATTCTCAATTTACAGTTCCTAAACAAAAGAACACCTGCTTTCAATTTCAAAGTAAGTCAAGTCTGGAATCTGACTCTCCTTTACAAATTCAGCCAATGACACACATTCAAGATTCCCCTTCAATTTTATCTCTGGATTACAGAGATGCTCCGCAGTAAGTGCTGTGAGCAGCACTCACACTCCTAGAATGCATGAGAACTTGTATTTTCAGGAGAGCTCGCTACTGAATGGCAACAAACCCCACCACATCTTGTTCACAAACTGCAATTGTTGCCCACTCATCTACTTTTTCAGGTCTGCTCACATTCAGAAAACCTGTTTCTATCAAAACAAAACCATCTCCTGCTTCCAGATACAGAAGCAGCAGTTGTAGCCTGCATATAAACTTGAACAGGTCAAGAAAAACTGCTAAGCAAGTAGGAATTGTTATCTGAAAACAAACTGCTGAATATGCTTTTCTCCAGTGTACTTGTGATTTTGTACAACAAGCTGTATAACACTGTACAACACTGTTCCAAATGCCTTTTTTTAAGCCCTGGAAACAGTGCTACATTTTTTACTTGTACTTCGGTGTATCTGCACTTGAAATTCTGAATCCTTATTCAGCTTTTACATTCAGGTGACTACTCTGTATTTCAGTAAGATTCTTCAGCAAGCAGGAATGAAGCACACTTGTACTGCCCAAAGTGATTCCAATCAATTCCCACTACTCCCACAGCCACATCTCCTTTCAGCTGCCTTCACTTCTTCACCTTCTGAAGTCACATTTAGGGAGACAGCTTAGAATTAACATCCCTTAACAATTTCCTTACGAAAAGAAGTACCCTAGAATTCACAAACTCAGTATTTGGAGTTGGCTGTTCACAATTAAGTTCTACTGTACATAAAGAAAACCACCACCTGCTAACAGGCTTTTTTTTATTATCAGGAAACACAGAAGTTAGAGCAGGAAGCTTTACCACAGAGATCAGCAGCAGCAGCGGCGGAGGCAGGAACACAGATGCTGTTTAGGTATGGACAGATTCCATTTGTATTCATCAGTTAGTGGAAACTTAATTTAATGCTTTAATAGCCCTACAACTCCACGTGTAGGGTTCAGCTGATAACACTCCTGCTACTGAAGGCTCCACACATCAGCACAGTATTTTATCCCCCAGCATGACTGTGCGAACATTGCTTCGAAAGTTTGAGTAAGCTTAACTCCCCAGCTGCCAAAGAGGAAAATGGACAAAAAAAGGTGCATTTCATCTTTGAATTCAAAGATGAAAAGCAGCCAGTCTCACCCAAGTGAGCTGGATGGTACAGTGACACTTGGGAACTGCCAGTTCCAGGTTTCAAGCTTTAGGTGCATTTCAGACTACAGCTTTTAGCCTTTTCCAAATATACTCGTCTATTTTGGAAGAAACACAAGAAATGAAGTTCCCTGAGACAAGCTATATTTGTTTAGGACAGCAATTATTTAGCGCTTATGTGCTTCTTCAAATTCTTCCCGAAGTGACATTTCCAAGGCCTGTACTTTTAAACTGTGCATCACTGCACTTTGCTAAGCAGCCCACCATCCTGCTGGCTGTTCCCTTCCGCCACACAGAGCAGTTACCCAGCAATGGAAGTGACAAACACCCCACTACGACTGCCACATCCTCATCTGCATCCAACTGCTTCTCTCACTTCTGCTTAAGTATCCAGCACCACAAAGGGCAGCCTCAGCACGCAATGCAACCCCTGTGTGTTTGTCATCCCTGACAGCACACCCAGGTACGCCGCTGCATTTTTCAATGAAAGTCTGAAGGCAAAAACTCACTAAGGTTCTTCAAAATACCATTTACAGCTCCATTGGGGATTCACTGTGACATTCTGACAGTTTTACCAGCAACTGTACGGACATCACGGAGAACCCAAACCAGATCACTACTTCTGGAGACCTACAAACCAGGACAGTTAACTCTCTACCACTCTTAACTAGGTTTCTTCCAGTCCTGCTCTCAGTGTACAGTCTATATTAAGCACTCCAGTTCAAATATAAGGTTACTGATGGCAAGGCTTTGTTTCTAAGAATTAGCGTTCTCATACAAAAAACATTCACATGTACTTCATGTCCAAGTACATTCACCACTTCACCCTCCCAGATTTGTTTTCTGTAGCGCACAGTTATGGCTAGAACTCGGGAAGGCATTCTGGTGAGATCCAACACAGCAGTGCGATGGAACCAGGGCTGTGCTGACCTGTGTGTGCCTCTAGGCATAGCCCTGAACTTCCCCAAAGTCCTCCAGAGGGTTCAGATGCCCTTTTTTTTTTTTTTTAAAAGCAACTAAAGTAGAATGCACTGCAGGCAAGAAAAACACAGCTGCTCATTGTATGTTAATCGTATCCACTGTACAGAACATTTATTTCTTGCCTGTAAATAGCACAGATCTATTTGCCCAGGTGCCAGACTTGGTATCTGGTTTAGCATCACTTTTTCTAGAAAAATGAGTAATTAAAAATACAGCCTCTTAAGCACTTTTTCCTAAAATTTTATTATCAATTCCCATCTTTCTTCTGTAGGAGAGCCAGGGCACAACTGAAAACCTTTCACTCCTGTCAAAGAATAATGGAGAACAGCAGAAACATGACTGCATGTCATTTTCACTCGTAATCCTATGCTGGCCTTTATCTGTCTGCAAAAAGAAAAACAAAATAGCAGGGAGGCAGAGAGCCCACACCTTCTCTCCAGGCATCAATTACCAGCCACGCTTCTGCTTACTCAGAAAAGTACTGCAATACAGTTACACGTTCCTGATAGGACACAGCCAGCTGAACAACAGCAACTGCTGAAATTAAGAGCTTCAAGTAAAAAAAAAAAAAGAACAAAACACAACATTTGATATTTAAAGATTACAAATTAGAGATTTAAATTATTACTTCAGCAGCCCTAGACAGGAACACAGCATTTACAGAGTCTACTCACACAGCATACAGGGGCCACAACATTAATATTTAGGGCATTTTTAGACTGTTTAATAATACAGAATTTATCAAAATAGAGAAAAAACAAAACAATTTCATTCCTTACGCAGAATCCAACCAAATCTTAACCAGCAATGCAGGTAAGAACACTATCACTTCCTGAAATCTGAACTGTCACAGCTAACAACTGCCCAACTCTTCAGGACACCTAGAGTCACTCACGCAAGGAGAGCTGCCCAACTTCTTCCCTAGCCTTCAATCTTAGGAGCTTTTAAAGCACAGCCCCACACAGAGCAGCACCCAGCTGCAGTGGCTGCCAGGAGATGGGCAGCTCCGGTTCTACTCTGAGACAAAGCCACAGGAATGCTCTCACCCACCTGTCAGCAGCACAGCATTTACAACAGACATCAAATCTCAGTACATTTCTGAACTGACAGCTGCCAGGATTTTAAGTCACTGCAACACATTATGCTGTTACCTTTGTCATTTAACTGCTTGAGACAACGTACACACCTGTTCTACAACAGAGCGAGTGCAACACTTCAGCAACAAACAGAAGATGTATTCTAGCTTACAGAATATAGAAAGGAATCAGAAGAGCACTGAGTCACTTTGGGAGTTTTCAAATAGGAATACAAGGAAAGAAATATTACAGAGCCTGACTGACAGAATAAATGATTGCTCACAGATTTATTTAGTATCTTCTGAGCAACAATTACAAACCCTGTCAGTAACTCCAATTTTTAACAGCACACCACTCAACCAGCTCACCAGCAGCATGTTCTTCTCATCATCATTTAAGTGACTGAGATGCATACTATCTTCCTGATATGTAATTACAGAGCAATTTCTCAAATTAAGCCACCGAATATCTTTGAATTGCATACCTTAACATCTCTCCCAAATGCAATGGGATGCTGGTACTCAAGGAGCCCTGTCCTCAGAGCACAGATTCACAGAGATGCTGTCAGCAGTTTCATACTGCAGCACAACTACTGTCACAGTGCTATCCAGTTTTACAACAGCACTTAGTGTGCACCAGCTCAGAAAACCACAGCCTGTGTTTCTTTTCTCTGAAATTGCCAGTCCTTCCCAGAAGTGGCTGAAGCCATTTAGGATGGCTCACTGCAGCATCTGCATAAGGAAGAAATCCCAAACAACTGCCTTGGCTTTCTAACAGCCACAGTCACACTCCTGCAGTGTTACTGTGAGGTGCCCTGCTTGCTCTTACTCTGCTTCACTGATGCAGGAGAATACAGATTAAAGGAAACAGTGACTGTAAGAACCAGCTTCCTAAATACCACAAAATGTATCCTGGAGA